ATCAAATTCATATTCACATCCTTCATAAGCCTTATGTTCATTTGAGAATATCTTTAAATTTTGTATCTAGTTGCAAAGGAAATGTATTGTATTGTATTTGTGTATTCTTTATTGTTTTTCTCATTGTTCATTTCTTTCAAGTTTATCCTTTTCATTTGTTTATCGACTTTTACTAATAATTAATTATTTTGAGAATATAATACTGTTTTGAAATTAATTATAGAATATTGCTATATATCCAATTGAGAATAATTTAGAAAATTCATTAAATTAGACAATTGAGCAATAGTTCTCGAATAGTTACATTCAACACAATGTCCATTAGCAAAAATAATCTCAATCACAAATATATTTGCACTTTTAATTCATTATTAGTTATTACGAGTTATTATTGGTTTGAATTTGCCAATACTAGCAAGAAATGTTTAATTTATTTCCATACGAGTTCTCTAAAGCATTCTAAACATATGTTTCTTTATCAGTACAACACATGTATGAATTGTCGTTTCTTTATTTTTTTCTTGGCGATTCACCTTTCCACTGTTTCAATTTAGCATAACATAAGACATTTGCATGTACCTTTTTATATTCCTATCTATTCTTTCCTTGACAAATACATACACTACGTATCCTTATATTATAGCACGTTTAAACAGTCATAACTTTTTTTTGTAATAGTAATAGTTTAAAAGGCAAGCATATAATTCAAGAAATTAACTCAATTAATTTATTTACTATACAAAAAGATATATATATATATATTACATCTATTCATACATTCAGCTTGTAATTTGTATTATGTGTAGATTTTATTTCTTTTTATTAATTTGTTTATAAATAATTATAAATTATATTATCTCGTGAATGATAATTGCTCTTTTTGATTAAAAATAATTATTATTTAGTTTTTATATATATATGTATTATACAGGACTTGAAAATTTTGAACAATTTTTTCCTTTACATCGTTCAACCTTTTTTTGAAATATTTGCAAAAAAAAATACTATTAACAAAATTTCTCTTATATATCCCTGGCTGTGACCACCACTTATTTATTGTTCCTAACACGTTAATATATATAATCCAATGCTCAAATTCAATAGATTTGAAACATTTTAAGCTATAATATGAACAAATAAATTTTTAATTAACTCACCCGTTATATGTCTTAGTTGCCTGCTATGGCCATATGTACATTAACAGAGGATAAGTGGCGGTCGCATACTTACGCACATGCAACGTGGATATATAACAGAAATTCTAATAATGTTTTATTTTTATTTTAAATATCTTTTCGAAAATTAAGACGGCGGATATACGTATAGAATAAAGTTGTTCAAAATATATATTTGTATAACATATCAAAAACATTAAAATCAATGAAAATCTCTGTCTATTCGAGAATATCACATAACAAATATCACATACCAACGGCCAGAAAGAAGAAACATAAGTCACAATTACACTATATCTAATGAAAAAAAAATAATAATAATAATGTGATATTCATTCCACTCAAATGAACTGAAATTTTTAAGAATGAGATTCGTGAATATAAAATTTTAATTTTCTTTAATAGATCTATTCACCATATTGAACGTTTTTTTTAAAGAAACAATAGATAAGCAATCACATTAAGCAAGAACATACACGTAAAATTCGATATATTATACCAAAAGTTTTTCATTAACATCTCGAAAACTAATAAAATATCCGAAGCAAAAATTTCATTCAGCTTTTCTCCTCTCAATCAATTTCGTTTCGTTCCACAATGAATTGCATAGCACATTTACTCTCCTATATCGAATAATTACCAATTTTCTAACCTTACAATTCGTTCGTTTCAGATATAGCGCAATCGTGGTGTTTCCCTGTGTTCGATTCGCAGTGTCTCTGGCTCAACTGTATAAAACACAAGTGTCGTGCAGAGAGCTTGCGCGTGCTCTTACCGCGAAGATAACGAACAGTCTGTATTCTCGTTAGCAGCCGTTAAGATAACAACGAGACACGACACTCGCAGCGAGCCTATGGCACGAAAAGAAGATTTAAAGTCGTTTTAGGATAGTAGAATTTTCATAAATTAATCCCTAGAGCGTAGAAGTTGCCACCATCAACGTCGTATTGCGTGGGATGTTGATCGGAGAAAGAGCAGACTGTCATTTTCATTTCCCTTAACTATGAAACCGTAATCTCGGGCGCGAATTAAATCCACCGTGAAACAACGAGAACAACCCTCTTTTCACGGAGGTAATTATTAAACTAGTTTAAAGATTCGTTAAATTTTATAATGTTAATGGAATGCGGTGTCGAACATGACAACGCAACATAAACGTGTACGCTCGATCGTAACCGCGATACCGGATTATCGTTGAAAAAATTTCACGGGTATATCGATGATATTAAGCTTTTTTTTTTTTGCTTCCAAAAAATTTTACTTTTTACGGAAGAATTTTATGAAGAATCTATCTGTATTGTTTGAGAAAATTAATTAGATTTAAATGATTTCTTTAATTATGATAAAAAGAAAGAGATTTTGAAAAAAAGGAAAGAAGATGATTGTAGTATGAAATATTTATTATTATGTTTCTTTGATGAAGAAAATTTTGTGAGAATTATAAAATATTGTAAAAATTATGAATTTTGTTATTTAATTGTGACATTATTACGTTTATAATAATTATACTTTATATATTTTGCCTTTATAAATATTATTATAAAAAAGAATTCAATTAATATAAATCTAATTTTTATTTTAAATTGATTTATTACAGAAATTCCTTTAATATTAAAAATTTTATTTGGCAAATTAGTATATGATTATTTTCATATGTAAATAATAAATTTGTTTTTATTATATACTAATATTTTTATTAGTATTGCTTTTCTTACAATTAAACATACAATTTGTACATTACAAGTTAAAAATCTGAATTCGTTTTTAATGTTCACTAATTGATTTGTAAATCTTCTATATATTCATAAAATATATATTCATGATTCAATTTAATAATCGTTAAAAATTTTGTTAATTATAAGAAATATTAAATTTAAGTTTGAAATATTTTTTTTATTTAATTTCTATTCTTATCATTTTAAACAATTATTAATATCTCTATCTATTATTTATTAATAAATTTTTAATATGGTTTTTAATATTAGGAAAAAATAAGATATCCAGCTTGTACAAATAATTTATTAATATATTATTATAATTATAATTAAAAAAAATATTATAATTATTATTAAAAAATCATTTTTATTGTTTTATTAAAAAAATCGAAATTAATTATAAATCGTCACTAATATTTTGAAACAATTCTTGTACAATTCATAAAAAATGAAATGACTTGTACAATATATAACAAAATAATTCATACATATACAATATTAGAAATAAAAAAATTTTAAGAATGAAATTCAAAAAATATCTACAATATATATCTAAATAAATATCTAAAATAAATCTACAATAAATAATCTACAATAAAATCTACAAAATCTAAATATATGAATATTTAATAAATCTAAATATCTAAAATATATGAATACATAAAAGTACGTATTTTACTAATAACGAACCATCAAAAATAATCGTAGAATTAATTTAATAGTCATGGTGGAAGAACTAGAAAACAAGTCTAATGTGTTACAATCACACGAATGGAATGTAATACGTGACCGTGTACATATTGGATGCACCACAGTGTGAGCATGAATAAATCTCAATGCGTTTTCTCACGTCGAGATCGTTATCCCCGCAGTTTTATTCCGGCCCTAGACAAACCGACATAAATTGTTTCAAGATTGGTGAGAGAAGGGATAGCTCTCGATTGGTAGCCACTTCTTTATGATATGGAGAAACAGACGAAATTAATGGCAATAACGGTGTAATAACTGAATCCCGCTACTGAGACGAAATGTGAGGGTGAGTTTCAATGCCGATTGACAATTCAAAGAGATGAAATTATGCATTTGATAATCATCATGTAGATAAGGAAATTGAGGTTTGAACGTTATTGAATGTTTCAATTTATATTCAGATTTTTCATCGTTGTAATTTATATTATATATTTTATTGTATATTTATAGTATAGTATAAGATTATAGTATAAAATGATAATTAACTTTTAATTTGATTGTTTTGAGAAATTGGAGCACTTTTATTACACATTCCACGTTTGTATTTATTTAATCGTTCGTTTTAATTCGGAAAATTAAATTTACTCGAAAAATTATTTGTACATATAGTCAATCACAAAAGTTTCCATTCATCGTAATAAAAATCTGAATAAGTGTATATAGATAACAGATTATAAATAATTTATTTTTTAATAACAAATCTCTTTGAATTCATGAAATCAATTTTCAAATTCTTGTTATTTTTTGTATATTCAATTTAATCTGAAAATATTTTTACAATAAGTGCAATGTAATAAAATATTAAAATTTAAATATTTCATAGTTTAAAAATTAATTAAAAAAAAACGAAAATAATATTGAAACTTTAAAAATTGATGTTCATATATAACTTTCGATAACACAATTTATTAATCGATTTTTGTTTACTAGCTCTATGTATTATCTAATGAATTATTCATTTTTATATTTAACAAGTGAATTTATTATTAATTATATGTTAAAAATAGCGATATATGCATGCATCACGGTTAATCATCACTCGTTAACTTTTATAACAAAACTATTTCATTCTCTCGAAATTTCATCAAACTAATATCTTTCAATCTATAATAGATATTATCGATATACGATATACGATCGATATATAATATAATAGATATAATAGATATACGATCGATCAATGTCTCCATCATGATATTCATATCAATATTCTTATATAGAACTTACAATTTGTAAGAGATAAACAAACATGGTGGTAAATATATGCAAACGATTGGAACGGGTAACCCTCGATTAATAGATCAATGGGAACAGACTATTCTAAATTAGCAGTGATTAATGCCTGTCGAGGAGTACTTACGTTTGCAGGCCTTACGATGTTGGATCGGTCTAGCCGGATCCCTGTAGTAACCTTCCCGACAATAGTGACAGTGTCTTCCTGCCGTAAAATGCCGGCATTGCAGACAAACGCCTCCGCTGACACGTCCTGACAGCTTATACAGTTCCATGTTGAATCTGCACTTTCTTGCGTGAAGATTGCAGTTACATTCTGAAACAAATATACGCCTGATTATTCGACCAATCTCCACTCCCTTTTCGAGTCGAAAATTTTGTTTCATGAAACGTTGATTACATTACGACTGGTTGAAGTGGGTTATTAACCTAAGTATATAATGATTGTTTTGTTGATAAATTTTTAAAATAGATTTTTTTCAATAGAAAATTGGCTTTCCAAAGTTTATCAGATTTGTGAAGTCTATCTTAATAAAGATTAATCTTA